AGTCGCAGACCTGGTGGCGTAGAAAATCACACCAGATGAGTGTGCATGTGTACCCAGGATCCTAAGATGCAGACGGAGGAGAAGGGACTGCAGTGTGGCCATACTCCCGGAGGGGTGATGTCTCACTTTACCCCTCTCTGTCTCTTTCTGGCAAGCACATACACCCTATGTAAAAACTTAAAGAAAAACAAAAAATTGAAATGCAGGCTAGTCCTGGTCTTGGTGCTGTATTGGTACCACTCTCCAGAGGCTCAGCAATGCTGAGTTCATGTGGGGAGGTCCTGGGCTCTCTGGGCCTGCTGGGATGGCTGGGGGTGGGGACAGGATCTTGGCGTGGAGATCCTACTAAGAGTCTCTGCAACTGCCCCCCAGAAATAAATGAACTTAATAAAAAAGAATTCTAGCCCATAAAATCAGATTTCATTAATTAATTGCGCTAGCAACAATATTAGCCAAGATGAATTGGCATAGTCTTTAAAGCTCTCAAATTTTAGCAAGCATGAGCATCACCTGGAGGGCGTGTTAAACACAGGCACCTGGGCCCCACCTCCAGAATTTCTGATTCAGCAGGTCTGGGGTCTTGTATGAAAATGTATATTTCTCCCAAGTTACCAGGTCATGGTGCCGCTGCTGATTCAAAGGCCACACTGTGAGAGCCACTGCTGCAAAAAAAAACTATGCTAAAGAAAGTTAGATTTGAGGGACCAGCAGATTGTGTAATGGTTACATCACTGGGCTCTCATGTAGTTGACTACAGTTTGAGTCCCGGACCTGGTGGCTTAAAACTCATGCCAGGGGTGTGTGCGTGCATGCCCAAGATCCTGAGAGGAGAATGAATGAGAAGAGATTGTGGCATGGCCATTCCCTCTGGGGAGTGATTTCTTGCTTTCTGTCTCTCTGTCAAGTGCATGTGCCCTATAGCAAATATCTCTCTCTAAAAAAAAAAAGAAAAGGAAGTTAGATTTGATATTCATACTTATGATGAAGTGACTTGTAAAAGAATAGCATTTCTTAAAGGCTGTTGGGTTGGATGGTGATACAATAGTAAAATCCACTGCTCTAAGAGGCTAACCCACGGTGGGTGGGCTGGGCATGCGCATGCCTATTACCCAGGGGTGACTGCACCTGAAGGAGGATTGTGGCATCAAAACCCTGTTGGGGGTGCTGTCTCCCTGTCTCTGTCTCTCTTGCTCACGAAAGAAAGGAATCAACCTTACAGAAAAATAGGCTACCTTCCTTTCTACAGGCAGGATTTATGCTCCCAGCTATTTACAGATGTGTACATATAATAAATGCTACCCACAGACACACGAATGTGGGAGGACAACTGACCTTATGAGTGTTCTTCAAGAGGCAAACCACTATGCTTTTAATGTGCATTTTGTTCAGATAGGTAGTCACTGGAATAAGAATACCACATTCAAAAGAGAAATTGTCTCCAAATTTAATACTAGTGCTTTCAAAATACAGGGAAAAATGTAGATAAAAATAAAATTGCTGGGGCCGGCCAGTGTTGTGGTGGTTAAAGTGCCGGACTCCTACATGGTCAACTGTGGTTTGAGTCCTGGGCCTGGTGGATTCCTTTCTCACTCCCATCCCCTTACCTCCCCATGTCTCTTTTTGGTCAAATTAAAAATTAATAATAATAAATAAGGTAATTCTTAAATTTTTTAAAAAATTAAATTGCACCTAAGCTTAGAGATAAAAAAAAAAAAATTGAAACAGAACCATTCACATAACCAACTGCTGATTTACTTTCTTATGGCTCTTTTTTTCCTTGCTTTCTTTCCTTTTATCCCCCTCCTCTTTTTGTTCGTTCCTTCCTTCTTCCCTTCCTTGCTTCCTTTCCTTCATTCCTTCTTTCTTTCTTCTTTCTCTTTCTTCCTTACACTTCCTTCCTTTTTGCCCTTTTTTAAAAAAGAGGTTTTTGTGTTAGGGCCTGTGTGCTCACTAGAGAGAGAGACAGAGACAGAGACAGTGAGAGGGAATGTGAGAAATCACTCCCCAGGGGGGATGTCCATGCCTCAATCACTTCTCCTCCATTTTCCTCCTGGGACCCTGGGCACACAGATGCACCCGGCATGATTTTCATGCAACCAAGTCCAGGACTTGAACTGCAACTGGCTATGTAAGAACTCAGTGATGTAACCGCTACACCATCTACTGGCCCCTCTTTTCCTTTTTGAAAAAGAATCGCTATAGCAGGACCAGCAGTTAGCATAATGGCTATGTCCCATGTAGCCAACCATGGTTCGAGTCCTGGACCTGGTGGCTTAAACTCACACCAGGTGCGTGTGTGTACATGCCCAAGATCCCAAGAGGAGAATGAAGGAGAAGGGATTACGGTGTGGCCATCCCCCCTGGGAGGTGATTTCTCACTTTCTATCTCTATATATATATTTCTGGCAAGTGCACACGCCCTATAGCAAAAAAAGAAAAGGAATAGCTATAGCAAGGATTCTCATGGAACTGGGTCCCTGGAAACCACTTAGCTTGTTTCTTACCCCTTACTTGGTCCTCATTGCAGGCATGGCTTGGGCTGGCCTGGTTTGGGCACAAGCTGAGTTACAGCATTGGGAGCTGCCACTACTGATGCCTAAGTTGAAATCAATATGAAAATTGGAAACTAGTATCTTAAAAGGAAGTTTCTTCCAATATCAAAGCAGCCTGAGATTAGTAAGTAAATGAAAGCTCCAATCTGTGGGGTCTTCTAAGATGGAGGCTTCTCATACAGCCTTTCTAAATGAAACAACAGTTACTATATAATCCTCTTTACTTGGTTATCCAGATTTTCTTCATAGGTCGATCATTTTCTTACTGGCAGAATGTCATATAGAACAGGGTTTTTTTGTTTTGTTTTGTTTTGTTTTTTTTTGTTTGTTTGTTTTTTTTTTTTTTTAGAGGTTTTTGCTATAGGGCGCACGGGGACTCACCA